GCCAGTACTGACCGAATTTGTTCCCATAAGGAATGTTGTGAAGTCGATTAGTCCATTTCAGACCACCAAACATACACGTACAAACGCACTTACATAAATACTCTTACATAATTGGTCGCATTCGGAGGTGATCGTTATGCGGGGGTCCACTGTATTAGCTTGGCTCTATGTACTTAGACCTGTTGCTTCTCCGTTGATTTAGTACCGTGAAACGTATTGTACTGTACCTGGTGATTAGCAGCAGTTTGTGGAGCCTCATCCTGTAGGGTGGTGGTATACTATATATAAGGCTGAGTTTTGTAATGAGCTGAAATAAAATAACGGCTCTTAGATCGGAGATTCAGCGGTGTAAAACACTGGTGCAGATTCCTTGTGTGACTTTTAAGTGGTAATGGCCACTTATCTGTCATAGAGCTGGTGGAAATGACATAGGGAAGGGCAGGAGACAGGAGCTACTGGATAAATACCGGTCAGCCATAGATGTAGTCAGGTCTAAGGAAGGGATCCCAGTCATATGTAACATCTTGCCTAGAAGGGGAGTGGGCAATGAATGGATGTCTAGGGCAGTTGGTATAAATTGCTGGCTAGACAGGTACTGCAAGGATCTTGCAATCCCATTAATTGATAAGGGATGGGTTTCATCTCTCTGGAGCTGGAGTGGTTGCATTAAAAGACAGTATTCAAAGTTGCTAATAAAGGCAAAGCATTTGTTCAACAAAGAGATAGTAGAGGGCAATGAGTGACTAGCTCCCTTTTAAGGTTTATTACACAAATAGTACAGTAGGAATCTGAGAAATAAGATAGATGAGCTAAGATTATTTGCAAGAGCGGGTAATATAGATGTTATTGCTATAATGGAGACCTGGTTCAACTTGAAAGATAGAGAAATGCCTTCTGAATGCAACATACAGGGTTATAAACTATTCCACACTGATAGGGTCAACAGGAAGGGTGGTGGAGTGGCGATGTACGTCAGAGATAGTTTATTGTTGTGTTAGACTAGATATAAGATTAGAAACATCGGACACAGATTCTGTCTGGCTAGTTTCTCGAGGGTCGTGAAAAATTTATTTTGGGTGTGATTTATAGGCCCCCAAACATTGACAGGGAGTGCAGTAAGCTGCCATGGGACGAAATTCATAAGGCATCTAGATGTGAAAATGTTGTGTTAATGGGAGATTTTTAATTGATTGGAACAATGTGACAGAAAATCATGAGTCTAGTGACTTTCTTGATATGGTTCAGTGTTGCTTTTTAAAAGTTTGTGACAGAACCAACTAGAGGAAACAACCTGCTTGACTTGGTTCTTGCCAACAAAGAATCACTAATTAATAATCTTGAGGTTAATGATGAGCTTGGGTAAAGCAATTACAAATCACTTAGTTTCAGTATATCACGAAATAGCCCAGAAAACTGCAATCGAGTCTCTGTCCCAGACTTACGCTTGGTCGACTTCATGGGACTGAGAAATTACCCAGGTGGGCTAAATTGGGATGACGTGACCATGGGTCAAGTAGATGGTGTTGGTTGCCAGTATGACGCATTTCAGAGCATAGTTCTAGCTGCCCAGGCAACTTTTGTTCCGAGTAGGGAAATTAGATCTAACAAAAATGATCCGAAATGGATAATAGATTAAAACATCTCATTGGTCAAAAGAGAGGCATATGTAGGCATATCAGAAGAGGGGATGAGCAGTTAAGAAATCAATATATTCAATTAAAAAGAGATACAAAATTAGGAATAAGATAAGCAAAAAGGGATCGAGGCTAAGGTCACAAGGGATTCGAAGACTAACTCACAAGGGTTCTTTCGGGTATACAGAAGTAAGATTAGGGACAAGATAGGCCCACTTAAGAGTAGCTCAGGTCAGATCACTAAGAGTGATAAGGAAATGTGTGAACTTTTCAACACTTACTTCCTCTCGGTTTTACTCAGGAAGATACTAACGAAATCCCAGAAATAATAAATTATGTAGAACAGGACGATAATGAACTATGCATGATTGGGGTAACTAGCGACAAGATCCTCAGACAAATAGAGAAATTAAAACCTAACAAATCCCCAGGCCCTGATGAACTGTTTGCAAGGGTTTTAAAGGATTGTATAGAGGAACTTAGCATACCTTTGGCTAATCTTTTCAGTATATCGCTACAAACTGGCATAGTGCCAGACAAGTGGAAAATGACAGATGTAATACATATTTACAGGGCAGGTGACAGGTCCTTAGCTTTGAACTATAGCCTTACCTCAATAGTGGGAAAATTTATGTAATCTATAATTGCCGAGGAAATTTGTAGCCATCTGGAAAGGCATAAATTGATTAATGAATCCCAACACGGTTTTACAAAGGGGTGCTCCTGTCTTACAAATTTACTAACTTCTTCACTAAGGTATTTGAGGAGGTAGATCATGATATTGAATATGATATTGTGTAAATGGATTTCACTAAGGCTTTCGATAGAGTTCTACATCAGAGGCTATTGAGGAAACTTAAGGCACATGAAATAGGAGAATTTTTTTTCCTGGGTAGAGGCATGGTTGACAAATAGGCAGCAGAGAGTTTGCATAAATGGGGAGAAATTTGAATGGGGGCACGTCACAAGCAATGTTCCACAGGGATCAGTGTTGGGCCCCTTGTTGTTCACAATTTACATAAACCACATAGATGAGGGAATAAATAGCGACATAAGTAGATTTGCTGATGGCGCCAAAATAGGCCGTCCAATTCATTCTACTGATAACATTAGAGCACTCCAGGATGATTTGAATAGACTAATGCAGTGGTCGGGAAAGTGGCTGATGCAGTTTAATATAGACAAATGCAAAGTTCTAAATGTTAGACAGGAAAATAACCATGCCACATATAAACTAAATAATGTAGATCCTAATGTTACTGATTGCAAAAAGGATTTAGGAGTTTTGGTTAGCAGTAATCTAAAACCAAGACAACAGTCCATAAGTATTTGCAATAAAGCTAACAGAATCCTTGGCTTCATATCAAGGAGTATAAATAATAAGTCCTCAGGTTGTTCTTCAACTCTATATGTATATCTTTGGTTAGATCTTATTTAGATTATGCTGCACACTTTGGTCACCTTATAACAGAATGGATATAAATGCACTGGGAAATGTAAAAAGGAGGATGACAAAGTTGATCCCATGTATCAGAAATCTTCTCTATGAGGATAGACTGAGGGCCCTGAATGTGCACTCTAGAAAGGTGTAGAATTGGGGGGGATACGATTGAGGTGTATAAATGGAAAACGGGAATAAATAAAGGGGATGTAAATAGCGTATTAAAATATATAGCCTAGACAGGACTCGCATCAATGGCTTTAAGTTAGAAAAATTCAGATTCAGGAAGGATATAGGAAAGCACTGGTTTGGTAATAGAGTTGTGGATGAGTAGAACAAACTCCCGAGTACCGTCATAGAAACTTAAGACATTGTGTAGTTTTAAAAACAGGCCAGTAGGCCTGCTGCAGTGTTTCTTCTTATGTTCTTGTGTGTGTGTGTGTGTGTGTGTAATTAATGTGTGTGTGTGTGTGTGTAATTGTGTGTGTGTAATTGTGTGTAATTGTGTGTGTGTGTGTGTGTGTGTGTGTGTGTGTGTGTGTGTGTGTGTGTGTGTGTGTGTGTGTGTGTGTGTGTGTGTAATGTGTAATGTGTGTGTGTAATGCGTGTGTGTGTGTGTGTGTGTGTGTGTGTGTAATGTGTATGTATGTAATGTGTATGTGTGTGTGTGTGTGTGTGTGTGTAATGTATGTCCCCTCAAGGGAAGTTCCTTGATGCTGGTCAGGGGCTCTTGATCTAGAGAATTGGATCTGTGGTTCAGTTACCTGAATTAAGCCTGAATACCTTCCATATCCCCTCAACATGTGCTGTATAATTCTACGGGTTTAGCGCATCCCCAGGGTTTAGTGCTTCCCCATGATTATAATAATAATAATAATAATAATAATAATGTATGTTTGTGTGTGTGTGACGTGAATGAAACAGACTGAATGAAACACTCATATCTTTATTTAAAGGGTGAGCATGCAGGAAACTCCATTACAGTCCTGGCAGGAGTGGTTCCCTAACACCGAGGGCATAGTTAAGCGATGCTCATTATAATTATTATAATCCCAGAATAAGAGCAAAACCTGTAGGTTGCCATACAACCTCTGGAGAATAATAGGTTTTGGTCCAAGCAAGTGGAGGATAGGTCAAATTCTTTGAATCAAGAGCCCTTCAGCAAAAATGACGCACAATAAATTCCTGGTTTGGTAAGGCAAGTCGAGAGGAAGTTGATTCTATAATACATGTATTATATCATGTGTGTATGATATTGTGTAATTGCAAGCTTGAATTAATTTTAAAACTGTTTTGCAGGATAGTTTTTGAAATGACCGAATATTGACAACTTATATTATTAAATGTAGTATAAAGAAGTCTCAAATTGTCTAGGTTAAAGTTTGCACTACGTATGTGTATGTATAATACATACAGCTTTCCAGAAGATGTATTTCATTTTAAAAATTCTTCAGAACAAATTATCTTTTTAATCCAAAGATTACTAATGTATACTACATAAATAATGTTTCCTCAGGCTATATTTTAAGTGTTAGTCTAAAATCCTTTTTGATTCTATTTTCAAAATTTAATAAAAAAAATTAAAATTTAAGAAAATGACCAATGGTGTGGAGATTCCTGTTGGTGGCCCTTAAGTAAGACCATCCAGCACATCAAATGATCTTCACGAATGTTTAAAGAATTTAATTAAGCTTTTATCTATTCATTATAAAAAGTATAGAGTTTGTGATAATACACTAGTGAATTAATAGACCACAATTAAATGGATTTCACTTGAGTTGTAATATACAGTGTCAAGAATATTTCCTGTAGAGTGCTGTGTATATACTAAGCATCTCATGCAGGAATAAATAAAGGTATTGTACAGTATTTGTTTTTACTTGTTAGAGCATTCAGCTGTTTTTCTTCAAATTGATACATGTATTCATACACGTATTTTATTTATTTTGTAGGTTCGACACCGCGTAACTGGTGATGTAATGGTGCTCAAAATGAACAAACTCATCAGCAACCGGCACAATATGCTGCGTGAAGTAGAGCTAATGAATCGACTTCATCATCCCAACATCCTCAGGTTAGAGACTACTTTACCAGTAAACGATAAATACCAGTGCATTAGCAGCTTACTACTGAGGCCCACAAACTTAAAATAAATTAAACTTTCGCCTTTACAAACTAAGAATAGTTATGAATAATGTCACAATACTGCACCAATTGCAATGAATATGTCCATTATAACTATAATTATCCATGTGTCCTCTTTCTGCATGTTTAAGTTTGGAATATTTACTCGCATCTGTTTACTGTGAACACAGACCTGGAGTATACCTGGAGAGGGTTTTGGGGGTCAACGCCCCCGTGGCCTGGTCTGTGACCAGGCCTCCTGTGTAAATGCGCAAACATTCTTTAGCAGTTGTAAACTAGAGTACAGTGGACCCCTGGTTATCAGCCGTGATCAGTTCCAGAAAGTCAGCCGATAACCGAATTAATATTTCCCATAAGAATTAATGGAAATACAATTAATCCATTCCAAACAAAAATATTCCCCCCAAAAATAATTTTTTAACAATGATGTAAGTATTGCATACCTTTACTGAAGGCTAATGCTGGCTTCTGGAAGATAGGGAGGAGGAAAGAGGGAGGAGTTAGTGTTTGGAAGGGGAATCCCCCTCCATAAAGACTTTAGGTAGGAAAGCCTTCTCTGCAGTTACTTCCCTTCTGTCTTTTATTGCCATTAGGACCAGCTTTAAAGTCGCTGGACCCCTGTCAAAAAATAACTGTCCAGAGTGCTCTGTTTCTGGCGTCTCTAAGATTTCCCTGAAGTGGGACAGGGTTTTGTCGCTGAACATGTTGCAGATATGGCTTGTTTCAGCTTTGTCAGGGTGGTGTTTCTCTACAAAAGCTTGCACCCTAGTCCACATTGCACACACCTCTTTAATCTCTGAAGAAAGCACCTCCTTCACTCCCTCTTCCTCCTCCTCTGAAGCAAGCTCCTCAGCTGCAGTCTATTGCTGTTCGAGATGAAGCTCTTGCAGCTCTTCAGTGGTTAGCTCTTCCCTGTGGTCCTCCACCAACTCTTCCGCATCCTCGCCACTCATCTCCAACCCCAGGGACTTCCCCAGTGCCACAATAAAGTCCACAGGGTCGGCAGGGTCAGGGTCAGCCTCAAACACTTCAAAATCCCTCTCTTGGACACAACATGCCCACAGTTTTCTCCAAGCAGAGTTCAAAGTTCTGGAAGTCACTCCCTCCCAAGCCTTACCTATAAGGCTTATGCAAAGGAGGATAGTGAAGTGATTCCTCCAGAACTGAACTGTCTTAGGGTCAACTGATTGTCCAAGGTCACTTCAAAGCACTTTTGAAACACTGCTTTTGTGTAGAGTTTCTTGAAGTTAGAAATGACCTGCTGGTTCAAGGGCTGGAGGAGAGGAGTGGTGTTAGGAGGCAAGAACTTCACTGTAATGAAACTGAAGTCCATAAACACTTGATCTTGTAAGTCTGGAGGATGTGCAGGAGCATTGTCTAGTACCAGGAGGCACTTGAGTGGCAATTTCTTTTCCAGGAGGTATTTTTTCACACTTGGGCCAAACACATCATTAACCCACTCTTTGAAAATTTGCCTTGTGACCCATCCCTAATGATTAGCTTTCCACATCACACACAATCTATTCTTCATGACATTGTTTTTCTTGAACACACTGGGATTTTCTGAGTGATACACGAGTAAAGGCTTCCCCTTGAAATCCCCACTAGCATTTCCACACAACAAAAGAGTAAGCCTGTCTTTCATAGGCTTGTGTCCTGGCAGTGCCATTTCCTCCTGGGTAATGTAGGTCCTGTTTAGCATTTTCTTCCAAAACAGCCCTGTTTCGTCACAATTGAACACTTGTTATGGTTCGAATCCTTCAGCCTTTACATAGTCCTGGAATTTGTGAACATACTTTTCAGCTGCACATTTGTCAGAACTTGCAGCCTCACCATGCCTTACAACACTGTGTGTGCCACTACTCTTCTTAAATCTATCAAACCATCCTTTGCTGGCCCTAAATTCACAAACTGCAGCACTTGTTCCAGGCATTTTCTTTGCAAGATCCTCATGCAACTCCTTTGCCTTCTCACAAATGATCAACTCCACAACACTGTCTCCCAATAATTCTTTTTCTTTAATCCACAATAATAATAACTTTTCCATCCCTTCCATTATTGGTGGCCTTTGTTTAGTTAGAAAAGTTACTCCTTTTGCAACATTAGCATCTTTTATTTGTTCTTTCTTTGCCAGGATGGATGTAATTGTCGATTTATTCTTGCTGTACATCCTGGCAAGTTCCTCCTTGCCAGGATGGATGTAATTGTCGATTTATTCTTGCTGTACATCCTGGCAAGTTCCTCCACCTTCATACCACTCTCAAATTTTTCTGTCACTTCACGCTTAAATTCCATGGCGTTTCTCATTTTCTTTACCACAGGAAATTTGCTAGGAACTTTCTTTGGAGCCATCTTTACTTATTTCACAGTTGCACTGCAAGAAAAACCACTAAAAACAATGGTAAACAAGTGAAATATTTTGATGTATGAGCAGAAGCCTCCTCAGCCACTGAGAGACAAAGCCAAGCTGAAGCGCAAGCTGCCCCAGCCGGCAGATCGATGCATCCGAAACGGCCGATAACTAAGTGAACGGCCGATAGCCGGGCCCCGGAAAACCCGCCGATAACCGAGTTGGCCGATAACCAAAACGGCCGATAACCGGGGATCCACTGTACTAATTTTTATGTTGTAGCAATTATTTTTATCACTAAAGCCATTATCCACCAAGGTTGGGCAACCCAAGGAAGGAAACGTGGTTCCCATTACTTATTCAATAGCTGTCTTACCAGAAGTATGTAGACTATCACAGTTGAAATAATTCACTTACCACAACATTCCCACCCATCCTTGAGAGTGTAGGCACTATACTTCCTACTTCTAGAAATCACAGTGAAACTAGATGAAAACAGAGTGGAGTCAGGGCCAGAGGCCCTGCTTATCCATACTCTGACCAATACTGGACAAATATCCAATGCTGCACTGATAACACTTGGACACTTAACCCTTTGGGGGTTGACAGGTCCTCTGAGACTTGTTCTCAGGGTTGGCCAAATTTCAAAAAAAAAAAAAAAAAAAAAAAAAAAAAAAAAATTATTTTGAAAAGATAGAGAATATTTTCCCGATCATAATGACACCAAAAGTATGAAATTTGATGGCAAACTTAGGGAATTATGCTCTCGCGAAGTTAGCGGTCTCGACGATGTTTATGCATCGGCGATTTTGCCCACTTTGAGCCCTATTTTTGGCCATTTCCAGTGTACTAGTCGACAAAAATCATAACTATTTCGCTAAAACTCCATTTTTTTCTATCGAATGAGTACAAGAAACCACCCATTTACCGATATCAACTATCCAATAAAGTGGTCAGAATTGAGCAATTTTACCAATTTCACACAAATTTCAAAAGATGCCAATTTCCGAGTAGGGTCCAGAATAAACAAGAAAGACATTCCTGGCACTAAAATAACAAGTTCTCTGTTCGTTAGTCACATCTCCAGGCCCCTCTTATATTTCTTTGGCTTTCCACTTTGAATTTTTATTCTTACAAAAAAAATAAGATTTACTGTTATGCAGACTACTGCATTAGTGTAGAAATGGTATAAATAATATCAGCACACTTGTGAAAGAATATTACACTCACCAATTGATGTGTATTGGACGCTTGGCATGATTTGTTTACTTTTGAACTTTGGTAAAAATCGAACATTTCTGCTATTTTGAGCTCAATTTCAAGGTACTTTTCATTGTAAAACCAGTCAAAATCATCTCATTTTCTGTAATACGTCTTCCATTCTATAAAATGAGACCAAGAAAACTAAATACAACAATAAATACCATACGAAAATACAGTGCAAAGTCGCTGTTTTAATCCAAAAACACGGTCAAAGTTTTTTTTTCTCATTACGCACTGTGTGCTGCAGGATTTTTTTATACTGTGCACACTGACCACGTAGACCCATTCTTTCATATGTAGGCCTACCAGCTTTCTCTCACTAGATTTGAGGGCGCTAGAATTTAGGCGTACTAGTAGTACGTCAAAAACCCTGGGTCGTAAGACGTACTAGTACGTCCGAAACCCCCAAAGGGTTAATGAATGGACAAATGCCCGATGCAACTTCCAAACACCTCAATGCAGTGGACTTGTTGAGCCTTTATTCAGCCAGATATTTTGTCACTAATATTAAAAATTCATTGCATGAGGGTCCATTACACTTAGGTTTTGTTTTTGCTGTTTGTCTGTTTACAAGGATTACTGATACTAAATAAAGGTGAAATCTTGCATAGTACTTATAGAATTTACACTGAAACACATTGAACAACACTGTTTAATCATGACTGGTGCAGTGGCATGCAGGGGGGGGGGTGAAGGGGTGGTGGGACCGGGCATCCAATTAGAGAGGGATATAAGAGTGATTTTGAAATTTCAGCGGTGATAAATCAATTTTTGGAGGCTCACCGCACTACAGAGGCAGTGGTTAGCCCTTTATTCCTTTAACGTGGTGTACCCTTTCTGTCCAGAGAAAATGGTGCCCCCCCCCCCACACAGTTTTATCATCAGTGGAGAAAGTCTCTCAACATTTGCAGGATCTGAAAATGGGGTCCCATGATGCTTCTTGTGATCTGAAAGGACTTATTTAAACAGTGGACCCTCGGTTATCGGCCGTAATCCATTCCAGAAGCTTGGCTCAAGACCGAAATGGCTGAAAACCGAAATAATATTTCCCACAAGAATTAATGGAAACACAATTAATCCGTCCCAGACAAAAATATTCACAAAAAAAAATTAACAATTACATAAGTATTACATACCTTTATTGAAGGCTAATGCTGGCTTCTGGAAGATAGGGAGGAGGAACGAGGGAGGAGTTAGTGTGTGGAAGGGGAATCCCCCACCATAAAGACTTCAGGTAGCAAAGCCTTTGCTGGGGTTACTTCCCTTCTTTGTCTTTTAATGCCACTAGGACCAGCTTTAAGATTTCCCTGAAGTGGTACAGGGTTTTGTCACTGAACATGTTGCAGATATGGCTTGTTTCAGCTTTGTCAGGGTAGTGTTTCTCTACAAAAGCTTGCACCCTAGTCCACATTGCACACACCTCTAATCTCTGAAGAAGGCACCTCCTTCACTCCCTCTTCCTCCTCCTCTGAAGCAAGCTCCTCAGCTGCAGTCTGTTGTTGTTCGAGTTGAAGCTCTTGCAGCTCTTTGGTGGTTAGCTCTTCCCTGTGGTCCTCCACCAACTCTTCCACATCCTTGCCACTCATCTCCAACCCCAGGGACTTCCCCAGTGCCACAATAGAGTCCACAGGGTCGGCAGGGTCAGGGTCAGCCTCAAACACTTCAAAATCCCTCTGTTGGACACAACCTGCCCACAGTTTTCTCCAAGCAGAGTTCAAAGTCCTGGAAGTCACTCCGTCCCAAACCTTACCTATAAAGCTTATGCAATTGAGGATAGTGAAGTGATCTTTCCAGAACTCTCTTAGGGTCAACTGAGTGTCAGAGGTCACTTCAAAGCCCTTTTCAAACCCCGCTTTTGTGTAGAGGTTTTTGAAGTTAGAAATGACCTGCTGGTTCAAGGGCTGCAGGAGAGGAGTGATGTTAGGAGGCAAGAACTTCACTGTAATGAAACTGAAGTCCCTAAACACTTGGTCTTGCAAGTCTGGAGGATGTGCAGGAGCATTGTCCAGTACCAGGAGGCACTTGAGTGGCAATTTCTTTTCCAGGAGGTATTTTTTCACACTTGGGCCAAACACATCATTAACCCACTCTCTGAAAATTTGCCTTGTGACCCATGCCTTTTGATTAGCTTTCCACATCACACACACACTATTCTTGACGACATTGCTTTTCTTGAACACAACTGGGATTTTCTCAGTGATACACCAGTAAAAGCTTCACTTTAAAATCCCCACTAACATTAGCACACAACAAAAGAGTAAGCCTGTCTTTCATAGGCTTGTGTCCTGGCAGTGCCTTTTCTTCCTGCGTTATGTAGGTCCCATATGGCATTTTCTTCCAAAACAGGCCTGTTTCATCACAGTTGAACACTTGGGGTTTTAACCCTTTCAGGGTCGAGAGGCCCTCTCCTAAACTTGTTCTCAGGGTTGAAAATTTTTCGGAAAAAAAAAAGAATTATTTTTTCTTATGAAATGATAGAGAATCTTTTCCCGATTATAATGACACCAAAAGTATGAAATTTGATGGAAAACATACGGAATTATGCCCTAGCGAAGTTAGCGGTCTTGCCGATGTTTACGCATTGGCAATTTCGCCCACTTTGAGCCCTATTTTCAGCCAATTCCTGTGTACTAGTCGACAAAAATCATATTTATTTTGCTAGAACTCCATTTTTTCTATCATATGAGTACAAGAAACTCCCCATTTACCAATTTCAACTATCCAATAAAGTGGTTAGAAATTGGCAATTTTGCCAATTTCACACAAATTTCAGAAGATGCCAATTTCGAAATAGGGTCCAGAATAAACAAGACAGACATTCCTGGCACTAAAATGACAAGTTCTCTGTTCGTTAGTCATGTCCCCAGGCCCCTCTTATATTTCTTTTGCTTTCCATTTTGAATTTTTATTCTCACAAAAAATAAAAGATTTACCGTTATGCAGACTACTGCATTAGTGTAGAAATGGTATAAATAATATCAGTGCACTTGTGAAAGAATATTAGACTCACCAGTTGACATGTATTGGACGCTTGGCATGATTTGTTTACTTTTCAACTTTGGTAATAATCGAACATTTCTGCTACTGAGCTCAATTTCAAGGTACTTTTCATTGTGAAACCAATCAAAATCATCTCGATTTCTGTAATATGTCTTCCATTCTATAAAATGAGACCAGGAAAACTAGAATACAACCATAAATACCATATGAAAATACAGTGCAAAGTCGGTTTTAATCCAAAAACACGGTCAGTTTTTTTTCTCATTACGCACTGTGTGCTGCAGGATTTTTTTTATACTGCGCACACTGACACATAGACCCATTCTTTCATATGTAGGCCTACCAGCTTTCTCTCGCTAGATTTGAAGGCACTAGAATTTAGGCGTTGTAGTACGTCAATAGCCCTGGTGCGTAAGCCATACTAGTACGTTGAAAACTCTGAAAGGATTAATTGTTCAGCCTTTAAATAGTCCTTGCACTCCTGTATGTACTTTTCAGTGCTTTTTTGTCAGAACTTGCAGCCTCTCCAACGCCTTACAGCACTGTGTATGCCACTACACTTCTTAAATCTCTCAAACCACCCTTTGCTGGCCCTAAATTTACTACCAGCAGCACTTGTTCCAGGAGTTTTCTGTAGAAGTTCCTCATGTAACTGCCTTGCCTTCTCACAAATAACAGATTCCACAACACTGTCTCCCACTAATTGTTTTTCCTTAATCCACAATAACAACAACTTTTCCATCTCTCCCATTATTGTTGACCTTTGTTTCGTTATAAAAGTTACTCCTTTTGCAACATTAGCGTCCTTGATTTGTTCTTTCTTTGCCAGGATGGACGTAATGGTAGATTTGTTTTTCCCGTACATCCTGGCAAGTTCCAGCACCTGCATACCACTCATATTTATCAGCCACTTCACAATTAAATTCCATGGTGTTTCTCACTTTCTTTACCACAGGAACTTTACTAGGAACTTTTTTTGGAGCCATGGTTACTTATTTTGCAGTTATTTTATTATTTTTTTTTTTTTATTATCACACTGGCCGATTCCCACCAAGGCAGGGTGGCCCGAAAAGGAAAAACTTTCACCATCATTCACTCCATCACTGTCTTGCCAGAAGGGTGCTTTACACTACAGTTTTTAAACTGCAACATTAACACCCCTCCTTCAGAGTGCAGGCACTGTACTTCCCATCTCCAGGACTCAAGTCCGGCCTGCCGATTTCCCTGAACCCTTTCATAAATGTTACTTTGCTCACACTCCAACAGTACGTCAAGTATTAAAAACCATTTGTCTCCATTCACTCCTATCAAACACGCTCATGCATGACTGCTGGAAGTCCAAGCCCCTCGCCCCTTGCAGTTGCACTGCAAAAAAAAAAAAAAAAAAAAAAAAAAAATGAAAAACAAGCAAAATGTTTGGATATATGAGCAGAAGCTTCGTCACACTTTGAGAGAGAGAGAGCCAGACTAACGTGCAAGTGGCCCCAGCTGGTGGACAGACGTGTCCGAAACAGCTGATCACAGAAATAACGGCCAATCACCGGGAGCCGAAAAACCGGCCAATGACCGAGTTGGCCGATAACAGGAACGGCCGATATCCAAGGGTCTACTGTATCTTGAATTGAAGATGACGAAATTATCCACAATGCAATACATTTGGCTAATGAATATTGTGAAAAATTGGGGAATACCAATTGCACGAACAAGGAGAAGAAGAATGCCTGGACAGTCAGCAGGAGATAGTGGACTGAGGGCACAAGAAGAAATGAATAGAGTAATATTAGAGATTGTAAACTGATTAAAAATGGAAATTGAAGACTGCAGTGTCCATTTTCAAGGACTCAGTGACTGATTTTCATTTCTTCTGAACTTGAATTCAGCAGTAACTGAAGATGAACACAAAAGAGAGAAGTTAAAAAAGGAATGTTCAGACTTTGCAAATTATTATGATAATGATGTGGCAGCCATTCAGTTATATGACGAAATTATTGATTTTGTGATGCTCCTTCAAGCTAGAGGGAATAGAATTCCCCATGATACTAAAGATGCTCTGGAGTTTTTACTGCAGTATGGGAGGGATGTCTTCCCAACGCTGTGTGCTTCATACAGATTACTGTTGACAATTGCATTTTCAGTTGCAAGTTGTGAAAGGTCATTTTCAAAACTGAAATTAATAAAAACATCTGAGGTCTTGAATGAAAGTCACAGGAGCAACTGACCAACCTGGCTTTTTAATAAGCATGGAAAAAGAATTTCTCACAGCTGATGTAAAAAGTGAGTAGTTCGTGTTTTCTGAAAAGAGGTATCATTTGGGGAAAAGAACTTAATAAATTTGGTTGATTTATATTTAAATCGATTAGTGTTTATTTCATGTTTCAACTGTGTTTACATATTCAAATTATCTACCTTTCTCATAATATTTCTCAGTATTTAGGCCTTATACTTGAGTCTTTGGGGCATATAATCAAGGAGTTGGCCCTGGGCATCACCAGACCTCTGCACGCCACTGGACTGGTGTTTATTGGCACTTTCACATATAATTTTCATATTGATCAGTTCTGGAACTTTGAAAGTGTTATTTAAATGCTTCCTGCTCCAACACAAGAGAAAAAAATTACAAGTTCTAGTCACACAAATGTAATATTAAGTGTTCCAGAAGGTATTCAAACCAGTTACCTAATAGAGACAGTGAGCTAGCAGTTGTTTTGCTAGCCAGAGATCAACAGCTGATTATAAATAACAAAAAAGGCACAATACCGTGACTGGAACAATACACAATATTTGTGTATTGAACAGCTGATTACTCTGTAACACTTGCATCTTTCATCTGTACTAGAGTATTAACTTTTTTACAACCCCCCCATACATAAATACTTAAAATATATATGTAACGTGTTTCCATTTTTTAGGGAGGCCACACTACTTTGGTGGAAGATGGCTAGTGTATTAAAAATATATATATTATAACATAGTACCTTTTGTTTTGCAGTTATTATGGTGTGTGTGTAAATGAGGGACAAGTTCATGCATTGACAGAGGTAAGATAATTCTTTAATTGCTGCGCATACTCATGTGTTTTCACAAAAAAAAAAAAAAAAACTTTTTTTAGACCTTGTTATTGGTAATATATACATAATTGTCTAAAAGGGTGTTTTGCACTCATTACTTTGAGTAAAAGTATCCAAACAAACAAGGGCTAACTGATTGTATATTTAGTTGCAAAATGACAGTATTAATCATGTACTCTCCTCTGCATTTTAATCATATCACTGAATACAAAACTGTCATAGGTGGGAATAGTGCCTCTGATCACCTGTCTGTCCATGCTGACTTTCACATACCAAGTCCTAAAGCTGTCTAAAAGTGCTGTCCTTAGCACAAGCCCTCTTGTTTGGCAAAATCTAGACAGGTTAATTTTTGTTATGTTTGAAGCCACATTAAGATGTCCTGGATAAGATCCATATTGCAGCCTGGGCCTTAACTTGTAACAGTATAATGCTGTATTTTGTATGAGGACTTTGACATGCTCTTCATTTTAGTCATGGCTGTAGTTAAGTGAACTGGGAAACATATGTTCCCACTGAATGTTATTAGGGGGGATGGCAAGGTAGGCCAGGTTGAAATGAATGATAACATGATTTTAAGAATAAATTTGCTTCTTATAAAAGTTACTTAATTTGAAAATAATCTAGTTGTCTGAAGAAATTGCTAGCCAGCAAGAATTAGATGGAATATAAGACTAAGATGTCATTAAACTATTAACTGATAGAGAAAATACGTTTATTAAGTGAGAAAAGGATAGTTTTATTAAGCTAGTGTTTGCAAACAAACTGGTACCCTTAAAATTATCCAATACTTACTAATTGATACTTTGGTGCACCCCTAGAGTATTTTTAACTCTTTTTAAAGAAACCAACAACCCTTCAATTTGCCTATAAGTGAGGCTTAAAATAAGTCATTCGATAAGGATAAAAACTAAAAAAAATTTCAAAGCAGTTGTGTAGCAGGTTGTAGGTGTGGTAAGCAGCAGTGATACAGGGAGTAGTGTAGCAGTTTGTGCTTAATTGTTGCTAGATTCCTACAGTATTCATCTTTGGCCAGTTCAGTAAGTTTGCTGTTAGTAATAATATAAGGTTTGAATTATTTTTCTTAAGGTAGGTGGATAAAACAGGATGTTGTGAGCCTCATCTTGTTCACAGTATACTATACAGTACTACATTTAAACCTACTATTGAAAGGATTTGTGAATGTGGTGCTGGTTGTCATGTTGGTAATGCTCAGATGTGTTCCTATATACAGTATACACGACCTGATCTTGCTTTGCTATACCAAAAGGGCTGTGAAACAAAAGCTAAAAATTTGTAAAAAAATATGAGATTGAACTTATTCTGCTTTTTAATTTAAGCAATTGTTTATTAATTTTCTCAGCTGGTAGTGAAGCCACATCACTTGGCTTTTAAAATTATGAATAGAATCATACCAGTGAAAATACTAAAAAAATTCATGTAGGCATGTAGATTATATAGTTTTACAGATTTAAGAGTGAGGAAAATTCTGATTGTTTGGAGAGTACTGTAAATAACTAATGTGTGAGGTACACTGCTTGGTTTTTAAATTTTTGAGAAATGTTGATCTTTTAAGTAGTCAGTTTTGTAAAGAGGATCATTTATTATATTTTTCACTGTAGTTGTGGGATCAGATGCATTGATTTTTGGTATAGTACATATATAATAATATTGTGTATAAGGGTGGGCTCATACTCTCTTTGGGGTAAAAATTAGACAAGAAAGGGGAGAATTGGGTAATAAGATCCTTCGCTCTGGGCACTTAAAAATACCTTTGTAGATTCTTCCATATTCATGGGTATCCAGGAATGCATTCCATATGAGTATGGAATCTTCATTATACAGGAGGGGCGTCTTTGCAGCATTTCACTAATGCAGTAGTTTTCAGTTATACCCATTCTTCATTTATTCAGACTTCCTACAATAAATATATAAACCACTCAGTATAAGCTAAAGACAAAAATATTTGAAGGTAAATGTGTGTGTATTACATATGCATTTTTAGGCCTAGCTTTATTGCTCGCTTAATATATGATAGTGTAAACATGTTATCAGGTTTTTGTATGCATTTGAAAGCGGAAAAAAAAGGGAGGGGGGGGGGGGCGTGGGCACGGGCGACAGGCAATGTTTCACTTTACAGCGCTTGACCAGAACATAACCTGCTGTATAAGCAGGGCCCTCTTGTATTCATTTCTGACTTGTGTGAATGTTTCAAGCTGCTACTGGGTTAATGCACTTCCTGTATTGATTTCAACTACTTTGTTTGTAATAGCTTTCCAGTACCTTTGTTAACCCATACCCAAGTGTTTTGTCTTTCTCATTTCTCCTTTTTTTCTCATATATTGCAGACCTCTTTATATTCAGTAGAACCCCCATATCCACTGATTTGATATCTGCGGTTTCAGTTATCCATGGTTAACTGTGACTCAAAAATACCTCTTAATTTGCATAATAATGGCCCCAAAGCATAAAAGTAGAGAAGCTGCCAATTCTTCAAATCCTAAGAGAAGCCGTGAAGTGTTTCCCATCAGTGAAAAAATTATAATTCTCCACTTATTGTGCATAATTTATCAGTTTAACTTTATAATAGGTGTATAGGACTTGTACATATGGGGTTTACTACTATCCACAGTTTCAGTATCCACGGTAGGTCCATGGAACGTATCCCTCACGGATACGGAGGCCCGACTATACTATTATTTATATGCAACCCTTTTAATATTTTATTCCATTTTTGTTTCTCTGATATACTTTATTGTCTTTGACCAATGTTTTTGTCAGTTCTTAATTTCTCTGTCTCCAAATCATTACTCGCAACATAATTTATTTCAAATAGAATATGATTGTTATATCTAGATTTAGTATTGATGTATTTCCTCCTCACTGGAATAATTTATTTAACATGGTAATAAGTAATATATACAATGTTAATATGTTGAGGAATTTGGTTGGTCATTAGTTTACAGTTGCTGCCTCTTAGACTATTATAAACTACATTGTTTATTTGATTGAAATCCTCAGTGATAATGATTTTTGCCATTTTAAAAATTACATTTTTGAATAATACTTTCTTTAGTACTGTATAATAATAATGTACATAATTTTTTCAAAGTAATTAGTTACATTGTATCTAAACTGTTTCTTTCAGTACATTAATGGGGGTTCCCTTGATTCTCTCATTGGAAACCATGCTGTGGTTTTACCTTGGGTAACGCGAGTTTCTCTGGCACTGGACGTGGCTCGAGGGATGGCCTATCTTCACTCCCAAGGGGTTTTCCATAGAGATCTCACCTCCAAGGTAATGTGGTACCCTAATTGTAAAAAAATATTGGATAGGTACAGACATTAATAAAATTTGGGTACAGGTACAACATCGATTATCCAGACATGGCTGGTCCGGAAACTCTCATAATCCATACACATTTACAATCAGTGTATTTACCACCCAACTGTACATCACTTATCCAACCCCAAAACCAAAGAATACTGCGCTCTCTAAAGGCGGAAAACTAGATAACCCGAAAAGGCTTTGGAAAATCGATGTTGTACCTGTATAAAGCTTTGGTGAGCTTTATTTGCCATTATTATGTAAAATGTTTTATGAAGCTTAATGCTACTAATAAATTATTAATTTGTTCAAAAATTTATAGTTTTGCCATGTTTTCAGAATGTGCTCATTAAGCATTCACAGGAGAGTGGTGAATACAAGCTAACGGCTGTGATAGCTGATTTTGGCCTTGCAGCTCCCATCCCACATGAAAGGTAACTATTGTACATCTTGTGAAAAGTTAGCATGTTTATTCACATTTGCTTTTATCATTATTACCAATATAAATTATCATAAGTGGTAAGTATCATTGCTGTGTGTTTCATTATCTTCCTAATTTACATATATAACTTCGTCCTTTTGAAACTGGTGTTGTGATTATAGATTTGATACTTCCCCAAATTTATTACTGTATTGAAATTATTGGCCATCTCCTTGCAAGTTATTATGAATCAGTAGAAATTGTCTCAAAAAAGAAAAAAAAAAGTGCTTCCCAGTCTTGTTCAGACAACACATAGGCAATGATATTCTTAATGCAGCATATGCTTAGAAATTACAGTTATGAAAAGGGGAGGGAATGTATAATACTGAAAAATAGCTTGTGAGAAACAGCAAGAACCAGATGGGGGCCAGGTACTGCAGTAATGCACAAAAAAATAATTATATGTATAGTAAGTATGTTGCAGGGAGAGCAAGGAAGACTGACGTTAAGCTGGGCTGCAAGGCTAGAATTCTTGAAACTGGTATTATGAATGTCATCATTAACTAAGTTAAAGCAATATTTGCAGAGACTTTATGACCTCTGAAATGCAAAACAAGTGCAATTCTCAAACAAAATATATTATATGGACAGAATTTGGTAGATTCTAGATTTGTGGAGATATATAGGAATTTTATTCTTTTCTTTGTAAGTTACATAGCTTTGGTAGTGTTATAAATACATGTACTATATTAATATTTTGGATGTATGTAAAGAAAAGCTTGTTTAGAAATTATGAAGGTAGTAAAATATATTTTGTAATTTTTATACAGTATATTTGCCTACAGTAAGGACATTCAATTTTTGACAGGTGTATGCGTCTGCGTCAAGTGGGATCACCATATTGGATGGCTCCTGAAGTTATTCGTGGTGATTGGTATGATCATCGTGTTGATGTGTTCAGTTTTGGTATCATCGTGTGTGAAATGATTGCCAGGTAATTTTTTTTGTTTTTACACTGTATTTGCCTGTCATTGATTCATTATAGAATAGAATCCCCATATCTGTGGATTTGGTTTCCGTAGTTTCACTTATCTACGGTCTGAAAATATTAAATGGAAAGTTCCAAAAGTAAAAAAAATATAAGTTTCAAATTGTGATCTTATGATGGAATGCAGCATTAAAGTTACCTGTATAATCACCGAAGCATTACACCCTCTCCAGTAAATGTCTGACGAGCTGAAAAGAAAGAAACAGCTTTATATCACACTGTTTTTCTAAAAGGTTAAAAAACAAACATGTCCACTATCAACACTCCCCAACCATCAACCTCATAATGTCTTTTTGTGTGTAAGTTATCAATTGAATTTTATCGTAGGTATGTATGTAAATGAAAATTGACACATATACAGGATTCACTATTATCCACGTTTCGGGCATCCAGGGTAAGTCTTGGTATGTATCACTTACTGATATGGGGAGAGTATTGTACTGTTGTTTTGAAAGTAGTATTTTTTTTTTCAACAAGTCGGCAGTCTCCCACCGAGGCAGGGTGACCCAAAAAGAAAGAAAATCCCCAAAAAGAAAATACTTTCATCATTCAACACTTTCACCTCACTCACACATAATCGCCATCTTTGCAGAGGTGCCCAAATGCAACAGTTTAGAAGCATATATAAAGATATTTAACATACCCTTCCAAACTGCCAATATCCCAAACCCCTCCTGTAAAGTGCAGGCATTGTACTTCCCATTTCCAGTACTCAAGTCCGGCTGTATAAAAATAACTGGTTTCCTTGAATCCCTTCACTAAATATTACCCTGCTCACATTCCAACAGCTTGCCAGGTCCCAAAAACCATTTGTCTCCATTCACTCCAATGTAACATGCTCACACATGCTGGAAGTCCAAGCCCCTCGCCCACAAAACCTCCTTTACCCCCTCCCTCCAACCTTTTCGAGGACAACCCCTACCCCGCCTTCCTTCCCCTACAGATTTATATGCTCTCCAAGTCATTCTACTTTGGTCCATTTTCTCTCAGTGACTAAACCACCTCAGCAACACCTCTTCAGCCCTCTGACTAATACTCTTAGTAACTCCACACCTCCTCCTAATTTCCACACTCCGAATTCTCTGCATAATGTTTACACCACGCATTGCCCTTAGACAGGACATCTCCACTGCCTCCAGCTGCCTCCTTGCTGCAGCATTTGCAACCCAAGCTTCACACCCATATGAGAGTGTTGATACCACTATACTTTCGTACATTCCCTTCTTTGCCTCCGTGGATAATGTATTTTGTCTCCACAGATACCTCAATGCACCACTCACCTTTTTTCCTTCATCAATTCTATGGTTAACCTCATCCTTCATAAACCCATCCACTGACAAGTCAACTCCCAAATATCTGAAAACATTCACTTCTTCCATACTCCCTCTCTCTAATGTGATATCCAATTTTTCTTTATCTGAATCATTTGATACCCTCATCACTTCTCATTTACTTCTTTTACAACCCCATGTATAAATATATTAAAGAGCCATGGTGACATTACACCTCCCTAAGACCTACTTTTACTGGGAAGTAATCTCCCTCTCTCCTACACACCCTAACCTGAGCCTCACTATTCTCATAAAAACTCTTTACAGCATTTAGTAACTTGCTATCTATTCCATATACGTACTTGCAACATCTGCCACATTGCCCCCCTATCCACTCTGTCATATTCTTTTTCTAAATCCATAGATACAATGAAAACTTCCCTACCTTTATCTAAATACTGTTCACATACATGCTTCAATGTAAACACTTGATCTACACATCCCCTACCCACTCTAAAGCCTCCTTGCTTATCTGCAATCCTCCTTTCTGTCTTGCCTCTAATTCTTTCAGTAGTAACCCTACTGTACACTTTTCCTGGTATACTCAGTAAACTTATTCCCCTATAATTTTTACAATCTCTCTTGTCCCCCTTCCTATCATATGAAGGAACTATACATGCTCTTTGCCAATCCCTAGCTACCTTCCCCTCTTTCATACATTCATTAACCCTTTGACTGTGTCGGTCGTATATATACAGTGGAACCTCAAATTTCGAACTTAATCTGTTCCAGGAGCTAGTTCTAAATTCGAAAAGTCTGAAATTCGAAGCAATATTTCCCATAAGAAATAATGGAAATACAATTAATCCGTTCCAGAAACCCAAAAATATTCACACAAAAAAATACATTTTATAGAGATTAATTACAGTTTTACATACAACAAATACTATAGTTTTTAATTATGTATAGTAATACATATAAAATAACATTTTTACTTACCTTTATTGAAGATTGGTGAGGGGCATCTGGAAGTAGGGAGGAGGAGAGAGGAAGTTGGGGTTAGTGTTTGGAAGGAGAATCCCCCTCCATGAGGACTTCAGGTAAAGCCCTCTCTGGGGTTACTTCCCTTCTCTGTCTTTTAATGCCACTAGGACCAGCTTGAGAGTCACTGGACCCCTGTCTCACAAAATAACTGTCCACAGTCCTCTGTATCTGGTGCCTCTTTAACATTTCCCTAAAATGGGACATGGTTCTGTCACTGAACTTGTTACAAAGATGGCTTGTTTCAGTTTGCTCAGGGTGGTACTTCTGCACAAACATTTCGACATCATTCCACTCTCATACTTCTGTATTATTTCCTTCTTCACATCTATGGTGTTTCTCACTTTGTTTACCAAAGGGGTACCACTAGCAAGTTTCTTTGGGCCCATGGCAGCTTATTTCACAGTCCCACAAGTACTAAAAAACAATGAAAAAATTAGTAAAATGTGTGAATGAGAGTCCAGGTTAGTGTTCATTCAAGCATGAACAAAGCTAGACTGCTCACGGCGCCTGAGCAGGGACGCGGACAGAGCGGGCCAGCGGACAGGTCCCATGCCCGGCGGTCCGAAAATAGGGGCACGTTCGATAATAGGGACACAGTTTGTCCGAAAAAAGGGTTCCTATTTTTGAAATGTTCGGGTGTGTGATAAGTTCGATTTTTTGAGGTTCCACTGTGGTATTTTATGTATGTATGTTGTATGTATAAAATATATTTTTATATATATATATATTTATATATATTAAAATTATATATATATATATATATATATATATATATATATATATATATATATATATATATAAAAAGCAAAAAACCACTCTGAAAGAATAGAGAAATTCCAAGCGCTTTCGTGACTACTCACATTATCAAGGACCTTGATAATGTGAGTAGTCACGAAAGCGCTTGGAATTTCTCTATTCTTTCAGAGTGGTTGTTTTGCATATTTTGAAAAAACCCTGTTTACTGTGATCTTATTGCATATATATAATATATATATATATATATATATTATATATATATTATATATATATATATATAATATTATATATATATTATATTTTATATATGTATATATATTTATATTTTATGTATATGTTAATGTTGCAGTTTAAAAAACTGTAGTGTAAAAACACCCTTCTGGCAAAACAGTTTATGGATGTGAATGATGGTGAAAGTTTTTCTTTTTCGGGCCACCTGCCTTGGTGGAATCGGCCCCGGGTGTGATAATAAAAAAAAAAAATATATATTTATATATATATATATATATATAATATTTATATATATTATTATATATATATATATATATATATATATTATATATATTATATATATATTTATATATATATATATATATTATAAATTTTATATATATATATTGGTAGTAGGTTGGTAGACAGCAAACCGCCCAGGGAGGTACTACTGTCCTGCAAATTGAGTGTAAAACGAAAGCCCGTAATTGTTTTACATGATTGGTAGGGTTGCTGGTGTCCTTTTTCTGTCTCATGAACATGCAAGATTTCAGGTAAAATCTTTCTACTTCTGCTTACACTTAGGGTCACACTACACATACATGTACAAGCATATATATACACACCCTTTGGGTTTTCTTCTATTTTCTTTCTTGTTCTTGTTTATTTCTTCTTACCTCCATGGGGAAGTGGAACAGAATTCTTTCCCATAAGCCATGGTGTTGTAGGAGGCGACTAAAATGCCGGGGAGCAAGGGGCTAGTAACCCCTTCTCCTGTATATATTACTAAATTTTTAAAAGGAGAAAATTTCGTTTTTTTTCCCTTTTGGGCCACCCCGCCTCGGTGGGATACAGCCAGTGTGTTGAAAAAAAGATATATATATATATATTATATATATATATTTATATATATATATATATATATTTTATATATATTTATTTTTTATATATATATATATATATATATATTATATATATAAATTTATATATATATTATTTATTTAGGTAGGGGGTTGGTAGACAGCAACCACCCAGGGAGGTACTACCGTTCTGCCAAGGAGTTTTTAAAAACAAAAAGCTGTAATTGTTTTACATGTGGTAGGATTGTGGTGCCCTTTTTTTTCTGTCTCATGAACATGCAAGATTTCAGGTACGTTTGCTCTTCTACTTCACTTAGGCAATACACTACATGTACAAGCAATATTTTCACACCCCTCGGGGTTTTTCTTCTATTTTCTTTCAGTTCTTATTTTTGTTTATTTCCTCTTATCTCCTGGGGAAGTGGAAAAAATTTCTTCCTCCGTAAGCCATGCGTGTTAAAAAGGGGCGCTAAAATGCCGGGAGAAAGGGGGCTAGTAACTCTTCCCCTGTTTTTTTTTACAAATGTAAAAGGAAAAAAATTTTCGTTTTTCCTTTTTGGGCCCCCCCGCCTCGGTGGGATTCGGCCGGTGGTTTTGAAAGAAAGAAGAATATTATAAATATATATTTAGGTGTGGTTGGTAGACAGCAACCACCCAGGGGGTACTACCTTCTCCAAGTGAGTTTTTAAAACAAAAGCCTGTAATTGTTTTAATGATGGTAGGATTGTGGGTCCTTTTTTCTGTTCTGAACATGAAAGATTTCAGGTATTTCTTGCACTTTACTTACACTTAGGTACATACACAT